CAGTTTCCCCCGACAGAGGCCCCTCTGCAGACACTTCACATGGACGTGTGGGGCCCGGCCCGCGTCCGTGGGCAGGGTCACGAGCGCTACTTCCTGTTGGTGGTTGACGACTACTCGCGTTACACCACAGTCTTCCCCTTGCGCAGCAAGGGTGATGTCACTGCGGTGCTGATCGACTGGATCCGCGCAGCTCGTCTCCAGCTCAGGAGGAGCTTCGGCTCGGACTTTCCTGTTCTGCGTCTGCACTCTGACCGAGATGGGGAGTTCTCCTCTCGCCTTCTACGAGACTATTGCCGTGCACGGGGGATCCGCCAGACCTTTACGCTTCCGGACTCTCCACAGCAAAATGGGATTGCTGAGCGCCGCATTGGCATGGTCATGGACGTCGCTCGTACGTCCATGATGCATGCGGCTGCCCCCCATTTTCTGTGGCCGTTTGCGGTTCGGTACGCGGCGCATCAGCTCAACCTTCACCCCAGGGTCTCCCGGCCGGAGACCTCCCCAGCTCTGCTGTGGACGGGGAAGGTCGGCGATGCGTGTGCGTTCCGTGTCTGGGGATCTCGGGCGTTTGTCCGCGACTTGTCTGCGGACAAGCTGTCCCCTCGTGCTGCTCCCTGTGTCTTCCTTGGCTTCCCCCCTGACGCTCCAGGGTGGCAGCTCTACCACCCCTCCTCTCGTCGTGTTCTGTCCTCCCAGGACGTCACGTTCGACGAGTCAGTCCCCTTCTACCGCCTCTTCCCCTACCGCACTCCTTCTCTCCCCCCACCACCGGACTTTCTTGTGCCGGTTCCCCCTCCGGTAGACCCCCTCCCCCCTCAGGTTCCTGCCCCCTCAGGTGTGTCCCAGGTAGACGCCGTTGACCCGGTCGAGGTTACTGGTGACTCTGGTGCTGCTGCGGGTGCTGAGCCTGGGGGTGCTGACTCTGGGGGTGTTGTGCGCGGGGGTGCTGAGCCTGGGGGTGCCGAGCCTGGAGGTGCTACTACTGGGGGTGCTGAGCCTGGGGGTGCTACTGCTGAGGGTGCTGAGCCTGGGGGTGCTGAGCCGGGGAGTGCTGTACCTGGAGCTGCTGAGCTAGGGGGTGCTGAGTCTGGGGGTGCTGAGTCTGGAGCAACTGAGCCTGGGGGTGCTGCGTCTGGAGCTGCTGAGCCTTGAGGTGCTGAGTCTGGGGGTCCTGCGCCTGGAGCTGCTGAGCCTGGGGTTTCTCCTGGTGCTCCGTCTCGGCGGGAGCCCCTCTCTCCACAGGAGCTGCTCGAGAGGTTTGCTCGCCGCTGGAGGCGTACTGCTGGAGCTGGAGCTTCTTCGACCACCGAGGGTGCTGGTGCCGCCGGTCCCGGAGCTGCTGGGCCTGCGGGTCCTACAAGAGCTGGAGCTTCTGAGGGTGTTGGTGCTGAGACTACTGCTGTCTGTCCTGGTGGTGGTCCTGCTGCTGGTGCTGCTGGAGGTCCTGCCACTGGAGGTGTTGGTGGTACTGGTGCTGCCGCTGAGGGTGCTGGTGCTGTCCCTGCTGAGTCTGGAGTTGCCGCGCGGCCTCGGCCGTACTTCGTTCCGCTCCTTCAGCAGGTTCTTGGTCTTTCTCCTCTCGTAGAGTGTCCACAGCCTGTCCAGTCGCAGTCACTGTTGGAGCCTACCTCTCCACTGCCTTCTCCCTCTCCTTACACTGGTCCTACTGGGGGTCTTGCTGAGCGTCGTGAGCCTGCGTCTCGTCCCGCGTCGCCTGTTCGTGCTCCTCGCGCTAGTGGTCGCAGTTCGCGTCAGCGTCCTCCTCCTGTCCCTGGCACGCACCGTATGTCTCTGCGTCCGTCCACTGCTCCTCTGCGTGCCCCTTTACCTGCTCCTCCTGAGTCCTCCCTTCCTGTGCTTGCCGACCCAGAGTCGGACTCCCTTCGTGCTGCCAGTCCTACTGTCACGCGTCTGCTTGCTACTGTCGTGACTGACCCCTCTTTTGAGTCCGCTGCTGCGTCTGCTCTTGTCGCTGAGCTCATCGACTTTGCTGCTCGCTGTCGTCTAGACTACGCTGCCAGTCTTGTTGCTGAGTCTGCGTCTGTCTGTCCTCCGTCCGTCGGGGGTGAGTGTGCTCTTGGCACGGACGTCCTTGAGGACAGGCAAGAGGAGTTCCAGTGTCTGGCTGCTGCTTCACCTCATCTCGCGTCTGTACTGCTTGCTCCTGAAGGAGACCCGGATGCACTAGACATCCCGACTCCGCGCTCTTACGCGGAGGCCGTAGAGGGTCCCTACTCCTCTCAGTGGCAGGCAGCTATGGACGTAGAGATGGCTTCCTGGAAGTCCACAGGCACCTACGTTGACGCGGTTCCCCCTCCTGGGGCGAACATCGACAGTGGCATGTGGATCTTCAGGGTGAAGCGGCCGCCGGGCTCTCCACCTGTCTTCAAGGCGCGGTACGTTGCTCGTGGCTTCAGTCAGCGGCAGGGAGTTGACTACTTTCAGACCTTCTCTCCCACCCCGAAGATGACTACTCTTCGGGTGCTGCTGCACATAACCGCTCAGCGCGACTACGAGCTTCACTCTCTCGACTTCAGCACTGCGTTCTTGGAGGGTAGCCTGCACGAGGAGATCTGGATGCGCCGTCCACCTGGCTTCACTGGGACTTTCCCTCCTGGCACCCAGTGGAGCCTCCGACGGCCAGTCTACGGTCTCCGCCAGGCACCGCGTGAGTGGCACGACACACTGAGGACTACGCTTGCGGCTCTTGGGTGTGCTCCTTCTACTGCTGACCCGTCGCTGTTTCTGCGCACCGACACTTCTTTGCCGCCGTTCTACATCCTTGTGTACGTTGACGACTTGGTCTTTGCCACAGCGGACACTGCTGGACTCGCCTACGTGAAGTCCGAGCTGCTGAAGAGACACACGTGCACAGACCTGGGTGAACTGCGCAGCTATCTTGACTTGCAGATCACTCGGGACAGAGCACGCCGCACCATTACCTTGACTCAGTCACACATGGTGCAGCAGGTCCTTCAGCGCTTCGGCTTCACGTACTCCTCGCCTCAGGCCACTCCTCTGTCTACTCGCCACTCGCTCTCAGCTTTGCCTTATGTGAGTCCGTAGAGTCGAGTGGCCCGTACCCAGAGCTTGTTGGCTGCCTCATGTACCTGATGACCTGCACACGACCTGACCTTGCATACCCTCTTAGCATTCTTGCACGCTATGTTGCTCCTGGGAGACACCGACCAGAGCACATGGCTGTAGCGAAAAGGGTGTTGCGCTACCTGTGCAGTACGTCGGGCATGGGGCTAGTGCTTGGAGGGCGGAGTCCAGTGGTCCTTACAGGACACGCGGACGCTTCTTGGGCTGACGACCAGGCTACGCATCGGTCGTCACAGGGTTACACCTTCAGTCTTGGTTCCGGCTCTGTCTCGTGGCAGGCTACTCGCTCGTCTTCGGTTCTCAGCTCCAGTTGTGAGGCTGAGATCTACGCAGGGGCCATGGCTGCATAGGAGCTTCGCTGGCTCACCTACCTGCTGACTGACCTTGGAGAGCCGCCTCGTTCTCCTCCAGTGCTGTACGTAGACAACAAGGCCAGGCTGGCCTTGTGTCGAGAGCAGCGTCTGGAGCACAGAACGAAGCACATTGCTCTTCGCTACTTCCTTGCTCGTGAGCTACAGCAGCGTGGACAGTTGCGGCTTGCGTACGTGTCCTCTGAGGCCAACACTGCTGATGTGTTCACCAAGGCACTCGCGCCTTGTGACCATCAGCGCTTCTGCACTCAGCTGGGACTTGTACCTGTCCTACCTCACTTGCTCACCTCTTGACCTTGCTTGTACTCTTGCATATATATATATATACCTGCTCTTGCTTGTTTAGCCTTATATATATATATGTGTCTAGTCTTGCATGTGAACTGGCCTTGTGGCCTTGACCTTGTGCTCGGACTGTGTGGTGACTTTGTGATCCACCCTGAGCTTTGCTTTTTTTGCTTGACTGGTCTTGTGACCCCTTGTTCTCCCCCACTTTGCCTATGGGGGTGTGTCAGATTTATATGACTTAGTTGCTGTAGGCTATAGTGGGGTAGCACATATGGGGTACAGGTTTTTAGGGTTGTATTTGTACCCCAATCTTTCCTTAGTCATTCATTCCTGTTCATTACTTTCACACCAATAGCTTGCAGTCGCTCGTTCGCATCGCACAGGCTTGCCCCGGTGTACGTCCAATAGCTTGTAGTCGCTTGCTCGCAGCGCACAGACAACAAGTGTTCCCGAGCCCCCCTGTCAGGTCAACTTCGCGCTGTTGCGCTTTTCCTGAGCGAGCCCACCCTCGAGGGAGTCAAACAGAGTAGAAGTGGATTTGGACTCGCTTCAAAACGGGAAGTCATTACTGTTTTAATCCGTTTTTTTGAAATATGTTTATTATACATGCGCTTATAATAAATCAGGGTTTTATAAGGGGTGCGCTTATAATTGAGGATCGGCCATAAGCGCATTGCTCCAGATATAAGCGCATGCGCTTAACATAGGCCTGCGCTTATATCCGGGGTGATACGGTAATAGTGTATCCGGTCGGCTGGGTTCTGGTACAGTACTTTTCTTCATATCGTGCCTCCATCATGCTGTTGCGCGCTTGCGGGGAGCGGTCCCTGCACTGAGGAATAAGCTAAACGCTGCTTGGATGGCATGCTATCGGGGAGGCATCAGCCCTCAACACCATGTTGCAAAATGTTTAGCTACGGGGTAGTACTGGCGCCTGCTAGCTGGTGTTAATGGCCTGCCCGCTAGCTACTGCTTCGCCGACCAAGGGTTGATCCAACGGACCAGGCACGCCCAAACCTACTCCATGTTAGCAGGATGATTCTAACGAGTATTGTCATTGTCAGCGCCAAGGGCGCCCCTTTTGTCGCTAGATGGTATAGCAAATGCTGGATTTGTTGTGACTTTAGTTACAGGTGCGATGTGGTATCAATGTAGTGAGGATTGCACTAATAAGTTGGCAAACGAGTACAAAGTATGAGAAAAGGCATGAGCAAAGGCATGAGCGAAGTGGTTTTATCACCCATGGCTCAGAACCACACCCGCACGAAGCAACCCCCTGCGCGCCCTTTCACCAACCTTTCTTGCCTCCACCTTCAAATCACGCAACTTCGGGAAGCTTCCCAGCAGCCCTCCAACCCCCTCGCCAGTGATCGCATCACACTCAAGCATAGTCAAATCTGTGAGCATATGCAACTTGCTTCTCGCCACCACCCGATCCGAAAAGTCCTCACTGTGTTCGACTATTAAAGCCACCAGCGCGGGGCAGGCACGCAGCAGCAGCAGCAGCAGCAGCTGCTCCTCCTTCAGGCAGAAGCACGATACTAGAGAGAGGCGCTTCAGGCCGCAAAAAACAGCAGCTAGTGCCACGGATTCAAAGGACTGCGGCTGCGCGCTCAGGCTTGAAATGGTTGACACGGCAGCAGGAGAGAAGCGAGAAGAGGAGCGGGAGGAAGAGGGAGTTGAGGGAAGTGGCGAGGGGGGTGCATGACGGGATTCGTGGGAATCCACGAGGCACATGAGAGGCGAGGCAGAGGGAAGGGATAGAGGCAGCCAGGCAGGCTCGGGAATGGTTCGGGTGAATTGAAAGTCCCGGAGGGTTAAGGATTGTAAGGGAGGACAGATAACTTCCACAGGAATCCCAGCAATGCCCCTTTTGGTGGTGCCGCTGCCACTTGATTTGCCTGTCATGCTTCCGCTGGCCCGTGCAGCTCTGCTGTTGCTGACTGGTTTTGAGCTGCCAATTTGCCTGCTGCCACCAGCACTAGCAGCAGCAGCACCATCACCAGCACCAGTAGCACCATCAGCAGCATCACCAGCAGCAGCAGCAGCAGCAGTAGCAGAAGCACCACCAGCAGCAACAGCAGCAGCACCATCAGCAGCAGCACCAGCATCATCACCAGCAGCAGCAGCAGCAGCAGCAGCAGCCGCAGCAGCAGCAGCAGCAGCAGCAGCAGCAGCAGCAGCAGCAGCAGCAGCAGCAGCAGCAGCAGCAGCAGCAGCAGCAGCAGCAGCAGCAGCAGCAGCAGCAGCAGCAGCAGCAGCAGCAGCAGCAGCAGCAGCAGCAGCAGCAGCAGCAGCAGCAGCAGCAGCAGCAGCAGCAGTAGCACCAGAAGCACCAGCACCAGCATCATCATCACCATCAACAGCAGCAAGGCGGCCGTTACCGGTCCGACGGGGATGGCGCATGGCTCTGACACTCGCCAGGGCCACACTCAACTGCTCATTAAACTGCTGCAGCAGCGACTCCATCGCACTTAAAGCCTGCATCCGTGCGTCAGCCGCACCTGCAACACCTCCAGGTTCACTCCCACTCTCACCCTCACCGTCACTCCCTTCAGCACCATCAGCAGCATCAGCACCAAAAGCACTGTCAGAACCATCACTGAGCGAGTCTTCATCAGGCAGCATTCCATCAAAGTCTTCCAGCCGAGCCATTCTACCTCCCCCTTCGCCCTCCCCTTCCATACTAGCCCTCTCCAGACTATCCACAAACACGCCTGCAGTCCTGGCAGCAACAAACGCGTCTATCACCCCATCCTCTCTCGCAGTCGCCGCGTCTTGCTCAGAAACCGCGACCCGCAGCGCCTTGCACATCGAAATCGCAGATCTGATTTTATTCGAAGCGGATTTAATCTCCGCTAGGGCGTATTCAGGGCGGGCCGTGCGGGCCCACCGGGCAGAATTAGGGGCAGTTGTGAAGGCCTTGCTTGTTGCTTCAAAGAGATTGGATATGTCTGTACCTGCTGCCACGGTCTGCTCTTGCTGCCGCTGCCGTCGTTCGAATGTCCACATATTCCTTTCTCCCTCCCTTGTTCCTAGAGTCAAAAGTTCCAACAATCTCCCCTGGTGGTGCCGTCGTTCGAACGTCGTTCAAACAATCTCCTCCCTCTCCTCCCTCTCCTCCCTCTCCTCCCTCTCCTCCCTCTCTTCCCTCTCCTCCCTCTCCTCCCTCTCCTCCCCTCTGCACCACGCGCACCAGCATACCCACAAGACTCTCAAACGACACTTGCTGAAGCACCACCCTTTCCTCCACGTCCCCCTCTCCCTCCCTCCCTTCTTCAACCCTCTCACCCCCCTCTCCCTCCCTCCCTCCTCCACCCCTCCCGTCCCCTGCCCCGGTCTCACCACCTCTCTCCCTTTGCACAGAGATTGTTTCCGGCTTTCCTACCAAGGAGAGGGAATGAAGGCCGCTGCAGTGAGCAAGCATGCCGGGGCGAAAGGACGGCAGCCCAGAGAGGTCAAGTGCGTTCAAGCGGGGTGCGGAGAGGTGGAGGAGTGAGCGGTAACCCTGCGCACTGAAGAGACGGTAGGAGGTGCCGTGGAGGGAGAGAGAGGAGAGAGCAGGGTTGGCCTGAACCAGAGCGGCTAGAGAATGGCTAGAGACTAAGGGACAGTCGTGGATGGTAAGGTGGGTGAGAGTGTGGAGGGAGCGAGAGAGAGTGTGAAGCTCATAGGGATTGATGGAGCAGGAGAGGAAGGAGAGAGAGGCGAGGGCGGGGAAGTGGCGGAGGGGTGAGAGGCAGGACTCTAGCTTTGCGGAGTGGAGGGAGAGGGATTTGAGGGAGAGGCGGAGAGAGGAGGAGGAGGCGGCGAGGGAGGAGAGGGTGAAGGGAGCGGGGTTCCAGAGAGTGAGGGAGGTGAGGGAGGAGGCGCGAGTGAGGGGGGTGAGTTTTGAGGCATGGATGAGGAGAGAGAGTGAGTGGAGAGCGGGGAAGAGGTGGACGGGAGGGAGGGGCGCGTGAGTATGGTGGAAGCAGATGATGGGGCGATGGGCAAATGGCGAGTCGAGCTCGAGAGACGTCTGGAGGCTGAAGGAGGGGAGGGAGAGAAAGGAAGGCATGAAAAGAAGGGAGGAGAGCGTGAGTACGGTGGAAGCAGATGATGGGGCGACGGGCAAATGGAGAATCGAGCTCGAAAGATGTCAGGAGGCTGAAAGGAAGGGCGGGAGGAAGGGGTGGGGGGGGGGGGGGTGGGGGAGGGGGGGAAGGGACGGCATGAAAAAAATTGGAACGGGGTGTGATTCGATTGGAAGCTGATGATGGGACGACGGGCGAATGGGGAGTCGAGCTCGAGAGACATCAAGAGGCTGAAAATGGAGGGGGGTAGCAGGGAAGGCATGGACGGGAGGGTGAGGGATGTGAGAGGTGTTGAGTGGACGAGATGGGTCAAGCATCAAATGCGGGGAAGAGAGCATCAGCACACTCACGGGTTTTGAGACTTCTCAAAAACCGAGTTTTGAGACGCACCAAAAATGGACGAGATGGGTCGAGAGTCAAATGCGGGGAAGAGAGCATCAGCACACTCACGGGCATTGCTTCGCGAGCTTCAATCAGCCACGCAGCGGCGTTCTTACAATGGGCACTCGTGTGACTGAATATAAGGACGAGAGGAGTAAAAAATCAAATCAAGGAGGAGATAATCAGCTTGCTCATGGGCATTGTCTTGCAAGCTTCGTCCACGCGGCAGCGTTCATATAAACCCCCCCCCACGTCACGACAAGCTTCAGAGATTCCAGTTTCGGGCAGCCCGCACCGATACTCGCCAGCAGGTCACTTCCCTGGCTCGAACGAACCTCCACGGTTAGCGAAATTATTCGGGTAAATACCCTCGAAAAGTCGTCGAAATCTTTGAGCCGCCTGCGCGCGTTGGGGCACTTGAAGGGTGCGATGAAGACGAAATGGAGCGAGTGGGGCGTGCGACGCGAGAGGCGGTGGAGGCGCGAACAGGAGAGAGCGACGCTGCGGCGATCGCAGGGGTGGGTCGCAAGGGCGAGAAGCAACAGAAGGATGTCGTCCGGGAGCGACAGCAGGCGACTGCCTTTCGCATCATCCTTGAATGACGTTTCCCGCCGCGCTCTTTTCATGTTCGCGAACTAATTCGGCGAAGGGTAACGGCTAGAGTTACGCTTATAAACAGACTGCGGCAAATGGGGGCTCCCTGACAGGTGCAGGAACAGAAGAACAGAGGAACAGAAGAACAGGTGGCAAAGCAAACCACTGCGGAAGAAACAAGCAAAACAGGAGTCAGTGATAAAAAAACGGGCGGGCTACTTGGATAGGAGACATAAGCCCTCCGCACTTTTCGGCAGGGAGATTGACCAGAATGTACCCGCTATGATGCGCTGCACTCTGCACTCACCCAGGGGTAGTAGAATCGAACAGCATGCATTTGGAACCAGTATTCTTATGACAGTCACAAACAGGGAAACGAGTTGGCGGAAATAATCATGGACTGATAAGATTTTGATGCATATTATAGTTTGAGGTGATAAAAGATCCATGAGGGCCTTGAAGGATCCATATCAGCACATCAGAATAAAATGATATTGTCAATTCTGAATATTTTTATATATTGATTGGGGTGGCAAAGAAGTATGAAGAGGCTTTGTACAAAAGGAGTGTTTACATCTTTTTGACATGAACTGGTTGCACCGTACACATGATGCCTGTTTGAGCCCCTCCCGGTTGCCTTGTGAAGGGGGCGTATAAGCTGTAACCAGGCAATTCGCTTAAGTTCGTCAATTCGCAGCTAGCTAAAAAGAATTCGCATGTGCTTATAAACAAGACCCTGCTACCTAGTTACCTTTTTTGACTTCAGTCTCTTCTGCTTGACTTCGGTCTCTTCTGCTTGACGCGCTTGTAATGTAGGTGCATGAAGCTGGGGAAACAGCCTCGGGTGCAGCGTATCCATCCGGCGCAAGGCAAATTCGCGCGCATGGGGTGAGCATCAGGTGTACTGAGTCTTCGGTCTGGTCTGAACCATTACCGCAAGGATGTGGAGGCCCGTTTTGTCGCGTTGCACTTCAAATCATGGAGACCACAGCCCAGGTGTTCAAGCAAGGTTCCTCCCTCAGTGTCACCGAAGCGCGGTTGCACAAAAACGAAACCTCAGCTGCCGAACCAGCATCTTCCACTAACACCCACCTGAGAACGAGGGCGCACTCCCAAACGAGCAACAGACGAAGCTCGGAACACATGAAGCTGGTAGCGAGAGACGGGATTGTATGCAGGAAGGCCAAAGGCGGTTTCACAAAACGCGTGGAGTCTCCAATCTGTTCCATTCGGGTTTCAGTTTTGGTAGGGACTTTTGAATGAGCCCGACATAAACCATCACACCGACTTTGTCACCTGCACTGAACTGCAGCATACATTACTGTACACGCCTCCGTCTCCAGGTCAGGTCAGGATTCAGGAGCCTGGCCATGATTCAGGAGGGGAACTGCACTGCACCAAACAAACGCATAGCCCAGCAATAATTGGCATGGCATGGACTTCTGATGAGGCGCGAGTGCGATCATGAATTGCCACAACAGTATTGCGACTAGAGAGCATTACTATGGCCACAAAGCTGCCGACTTGCTGTGCGGCCAGCGAAACTAACAGGGCCTCGTTTGGAAAGGCGCAGGGGGCTTCCAACAGTTTTAGTAGGGTCATTTGTTGCGTCGCCGCTCCTCGCACCTAGGTCGCAGCAATTCAATTGGCCCATTGCCGGCGTCGGCTTACGCGCACCGTTCTATTCAGTAGCCATTCCGTTTCCCCCAATGCGCCGTTGCTTGACTAGCATAATTTGTCAATCGTCGCGACCTAGGCTGTCCGCTTCGTTATTCGTCACCCCGCGTTCAAAACATTTCGCCCAGGTTACGAATACTATTCAGGAAACCTAGTTTCAGGCCCTCTGGTTCCGTTAGGACCGCTGTTGCCGTTAGAGCCTATTAACTAGCTTGCGCGGAAATGGTTCTTAGGAGACAGCTAAGCCGAGGCAAGAGGAGGCGAGGCGCGCGCAGCTTATTATGCTCCTTATCGCGACGGTCGCCGCTGCTGTCGCTTCCGCTGCTCGTGCTGCTCGTGCTGACCGTGTTTCCCGTGTCACTACTAGGCACCATAGGTATGCTTGCGTGCGTGTGGGGCGCGTTATAAGGTCCCTCAAAAGTCATGCTGCTCGTGCTGGCCGTGTTTCCCGTGTCACAATTCCAAGGCACCATAGCTATGCTTGAGTGCTCGGCTGCGCGCGTTGCGCGAGGTTGCGCGGGATGAGGGGGATGCGCGAGGGTGCGCGAGCATGAGCGGGGTTGCGCGAGGGAGGCGCAAGGATGCGTGGGGATTCCCAAGGGCGCACGGGCGTGCGCGCAGATGTGCGCCCGGGCTATGCTTCCGAAAAAAAGAATTTGGGAGATGATGCCAGCGCACGAGCGTAAAGAGTAGCTGTGGGGGGGAGGAGGGGGGGGGAGAAGGGGAGGGGGAAGGGAGGTTACTGTGCCGACAGGGAGGGGGTTCGCCTGGACAGGAAGGAGTATCAGGGGAAGTGGAGCATGAGAAGTATGGCAGGAGAATCAGGGGGTGGGTATCACGAAGGAGTATTTGGGGAGGAAGGGATAGGGGGAAGGTGGGGAGGGGGTGGAGTGAGAGGGAGAGGATACGACAGGTGGAGCGTCCTTCCCGTGCCTCCCGCCCTCTTCCCCCTTCAACCCCCCCCTTTTCCCCCTCCTCCCATTCACAAGCCTCCCAACCACACCACCTTCCGCTACTCCCCCCCACCTTCCCAGCAGCAGCAGCAGATTCTGCCGAGACAGGAGGAGCGGGCGCGTGAGATGACGACGGCAGCGACCTCATCATCATCACACTCTTCCCCCTTCTCCCCCTTTCCCCTCCCCTCCCTCCCCCCACTTCCCCCCTCCCGCGCATTCCGAACAGCAACGGACTCTGCCGACTCAGCAGGCGCATGGGATGACGACGGCAGCGATCTCACGGTCATCACGCTCGCGGATGCTGACGTGCCCGACATCGTCGACGATGACACGTCAGCATCCTCCTCTTCCACGCCATCGTCTTCGTCGGTCTCAATTGCTTCCGTACCGTCCTCGTCTTCCCACCCGCTAGTAGTATCAACCTCTTCCTCTTCCTCTTCCTCTTCCTCTTCCTCTTCCTCTTCCTCTCCCTCCGCCTCTACCTCCTCTGCTCCTTCCTCCTCCTCCTCCTCGTCCGTTCGTCGCTCCCGCTCCTCCTCCGCCGCATCCGCTTCCGCCGCCTCCCAAGCTACGAAATCCTACATTGTCCATCTATCCTCCGCTCCTCCAATCCTGACGTATCGCGGGGGGCTAATGGGCTTTAAAGCCACGGCGATTCCCGACGACGGCGACGACGACGAGGACAGCGTCGACGACGACACTAACGACGGTGCTTTTAAGGAGGTTATGAACAAGGTTCTTAAATCGCAGGACGGGCCCGTCGCCGACGCGATGGAGAGCGCCGCGGCCGCCGTCGATTCCGCCGCGAAAATCGCCAAGGCGATTCTGAAACGCGTCGAGTCGGCGGCGACGGCGGCTGTGAATAAGTTAAAAGACGCGAAGCAGAAAGCCGACCAGCGGGCGGAGTTAAATTTCTGGTCGCAACGGCCGCGAAACATCCCCGATATGCTATCCCAACCCGTTAAGGACTTTCAGCAATTTCTGGAGCAGTCGCAGCGGCGAATTCTCGCGAGCCTGAATATCGCCGAGGAAAATATTTTCCAGAGTTCCACTTTCACCGCGAACAGTTTCGCGGCGACGCTTACAGCAGCGGAAGTGAAGAAATTGAAAAAGCATCCCGCAGTGGCCGCAATTGAGCCGGATGTTTTGTTTACGAAGCTCACCACTGATTCGCCGAGGTTTTTGAAGCTGCCCGAATCGTTGTGGCCCGCGACGGGTGGGCAGGACAGCGCGGGGGAGGGGATGGTCATCGGGATTGTCGATACGGGCATTTGGCCGGAGCACCCTTCGTTCAGTGATCCCGTGGGTATCCTCCAGTGGCACTATGGTTGAGGGGCTCGCGTGATTTTTGTTGTAAGCAGCTTGCTTCATTCGTTGCTGCATCCCTTGTTCCCTTGCTGCATCGCATCCCCCAGGTGGTGGCCAGGCAGGTGTGAGAAACGGTCTACAGTGGTCTGAGTTACTCCCTCTTTCCCAACCCCCTTCCCCCAACCCCCCAGGCGGTGGCGAGGCAGGTGTGAGCTTACCTCCTTCCCCCAATTCCCCTCGTCCCCCTCTCTCCCCCCCTTCCCCCAGGCCTACAAGCCCTACTGCAGCCCCCCAGGCGGTGGCGAGGCAGGTGTGAGAAAGTCAATTGCTGTCCAGCTTATTTCCTCTCCCCAATTTTTCTGGTTCCCCACTCTTCCCCTCCTCCCCCCTCCCAGGCCTAC